ACACAACTCATGTAACGTGTCTATAAAGGGACCTCGGAAGTCCAGGTCCTGGCTCTCCCTATCTTCACAGCATCCGAGGGCCTTCGTGGAGCCAAAACTCTCTTGGAGTGCACTGGCTCCTTGGTGGAGATTTGGAGTTCGGTTGCAGGATTTAGGGTCTGGGGTTTAGGGTGTTAAAGTTTGTAGACTTTAGGTTTTGTTGAGGTTTCGGTGCAAGAGGGCTTGGTTGAGTTTGGAGGTCAAACTCTTGAAAGTAAGAGCTTAAGATGTGCAACTAAAGATGTGCAGCTTAGGGAAGCTCACTCTTCCTTAACCCCAAACCCTACGCCCTACCAATCTCAGTGAAAGCTAGCCGTGACTTCCGAAAGTTTTTTTGCGACCTGGACTATTTATGAACCAACAAAAGCCCACTCATATAGATATGGACATTCAATTAATTCGGGATCCCCGGACAGTCCAACCTTGAGGGTCACAGGAGCCTGGTGATGAGTATGCAGGGATTTTCGGGACGAATGCAGGGTTCACAGCACGTCCTGCAGACGCATCAAGGGGAGAAGGTCGCCCCAAGAGTCTTAGAGATCTTATACAGCATGTCAATGTCGATCCTGCCATTGCGTGTAGCAAATTGGACGTAGGTTCTGGTTCCTTGCCTGCTGGTCCGATCTGCTACGGTGGCACGCTCTTGACCGAGACGTTCTCCATCCACGTCATCAGCCATGATGGGGAGGTTGGTGTGAGAGCATGCTACAGAGCAACCTTAGTCTAATCTTCACAAACGAAGCCATACCCGGAGGGATAGGAAGACTTGGTAAGTATACTTACCCTAAGGGTCCAAGTACCTAACAATCATATACTTACCCAAAACCTGCACCATAATTACTATTACCCTAAACCCAGGCACCAAATTATTGGGTGCTTGGACCCTCTGGGCTATAAAGCCCTACAGGCACAGCAACCCCAGTTATCACTGCTTTCCGCAAACTTCCATCCCTTAGAGTAGCCTTCTCAGAAGGTCTTCACATGAGCTATAGTCTAAACTCCTGAAATCAGGCTTTATAGGAGATTATATAGGGAAGTATGATCGGGGCTATTAAAGGGGAGATTAGGAGTTTTGGACTATAACTCCTGTTCTGAAGCTGACGAGTACGGTGCTCAAGCACAAGCCCGGTACGCGCCCATAAGAAGAGCGAGGTGCTCTCCTGGTATCCTTGTGACCCCCAAGCTAGGGTTTAGGGTTTAGGGGTCGGAAGCCCAAGCTATCTGTAAAGTAAACAAACATAGGAGTGTTTCAGCACTACCCCTTTTGAATCTTCATATTTGTGGAATCTTGTAATTCCCTCTAATTCCCTCGCAATCACCACACAGATCCCGCAGGTCCCTAGGTGGCCCCTATGTTGAGAAAATCCTACTCCCTGAGCATGCTCTTCATAATTGCCTGCTTATGACCCCTATAAACTAGAAATGGTCCCTAGTAAAAGGAAGTTTCAGGCGGGTAGCTTCCCCCATTTAAGCCTTGTCTAGCTCGTATACGCCGTATACGCTTGATATCAGCCTTATATGAGGGTACCCACTGGTAACGAACCACCTGGAAACACCCCTAACCTAGGGGTACCCCCATTTTGACAAGCCCGAACCCTAAACCCTAAACTCTAAACCCAAGACCGTAAACCCTAAACCTCAAACCCTAAACCCCAAACCCTAAACCCTAAACCCTAACCCTAATCCCTTTTGCAGGTTGGTGTTGTGGATATGAAGGCAGTCGGCCCTATGGCCGGTGAGTGCGATGGCGCCAACTTCCAGAACAACGACAACGCCACTTTGGATGTTGGGCCTAGGGGACCCAGGGTTTAGGGTTTAGGGATCCCAAAAGGGTGGTGATTATTTGGGTGTGGCATGGACAGATTATAAGTCTTAAGCTGGTGATTATATTTTTGGATCGTTTGTGGGTGTGTGGGATTTGTTGCGCTGGGTTCATCTAGAGCTTTGGGTTTTCTGATTCTGGAGATACTAACTTTCCACGTTACTGTAGTCTTCATAGCCTGGCAGCGTAGCATGAAGTATATAGAGCCGTATGGTAAAGGGTTCCCCATAGAGGGACCAACCATACTAAGGGATCTGGTGGGACGTTACCAGACATGTGCGGGGCTTGACTTACTACACGCGGAGCTGTTGCTGCGGTTTTGTGCAGATTGTACAGGAATGATGCGTGGGGCACATTTGCGTCACAGCATGCCATGTGGTCATGATGTGGGCATTTGCGATTAGGTCGTATGTGGAGTGGTCGGCACTAATTAATTGCAGGGATGCCATACATGCGGATAGTAGTTCCTTGGGTTTCCCCCCCAAACGATCCTAATCCTCCAGCAAGCAAGAGGTGCTCAAAATCGGGACCCCAAGCATTTTCTAGGGGTCAGAGAACTGAATATGATCCCCCTAAAGTAGAAAAGTATGGGTATATGGGGATCTTATTATAATCTACCCAAAGCCATAGTCTATCTACTTAAGGGGGTCCATAGCCCTAAACCCTAAACACTATATAACCCCTAGGGAGCTTGGGCCAGCAGTTGTAAAAACAACAGTGCTGGATTTTTTAGGATAATGGAAAATCAGATGAAAACTACTATAGCACAATGGGGTTATATTTGGGATCATACGGAGGACCTGCAGTTCAAAAAGTGTCGTCCCATTTATGGTTGCGATGGGTCTCTCATCATTAGATTTCGAAAGTTTTGCTGTCCATAGATGAAAGTCGTAGAAATCTTGATTTCTGGACCCGGTTGCAAAGAACAGTTATCACTCCATTCCATAGTTGGGCTGTGGACATTGTGGGGGCCCCTTCGAACCCCTTCCCAAAGATAAGCCTCCCACCCCCGTTATCGATACATCAAGATCGTATCATGCTATCATGTTTATTTTGGGGTCATTCGGAGGTACTTAAGGGAATCTCTTGACCCTTCTCTTCTGAAGATTTACGGAGATCATAGCTGGCTAGGTCGGCCTTTCGGACAGCACGTCTCCACCCCAAAGTCGCGGCTACTGCTATCTCTTGAGGAGTATAGAGATTGCTTAACCCTGAAGTATGTAGAACAAGACCTTTTTTGGCTCTTTTTTTTGTTGGGTTTTGGGCCAATTTCTGACCCACAGATGCAACAAAAGTGATCCCTTCTCATGATGCCTATTACGGTAGATCAGCCCACTGTCCTCGATGAAAGCCGGGCACAAAGTTGTTGGCCCCCAACTCCGATATGAACAAGTTCCCGAAACCCTAGGCGCAATGTAGTTCCTTTTTGGGCGGTACATGCTGGTCCCTTCCCAAAACAAGAAACACAAACCTCAAAAAAGGACTACATAGGAGCCCTTGGGTAAGCCATGGAACGAAGGTGATCACAGTCGACAATGATCACGGGTGTGGGTTGGCAAGCTACGAGTACACGGCGGAGTATTGCCCTGACCAGGACAGAGGGTCGGGTTTTGGTTTCAGGGCTTCGGCCAGACCCTAAGCTGTTTAAGGTTTAGGGTTTAGGGGCTCCCGCTTGTAAAAGCACTATGTCTGAAGCATTGTCAACTTGTGGAATTGGGGGGGGAAATTTCTGGAAAGATTCAGGGCCCAATTCATTCTCTATTCGCGCCAGCCTTTTCTAATTGATTGTTTTTTCAGGAATGAGAAAATCGAGGAGGCCTTTGATTAGTCGACCTGGATAACTCGAGCCAGGCAACTGCTAAGTGGAATTTCTTTAGCTACTTACGTAGATTCAGTGAGAAGGACTTAAATCAGTAAACGGTTCGGAAAACGGAAATACCCAATTCCAAGCCGAAACACAAACGACTTGGAAAAGCAATGTCACTAGAAATCCGTAGTCCCTGTTTTAGGGTTTAGGGTGTAAGCCTCCCTACTTGCCGTGGAGCCCGTTCCCAATTCAATGTGAGGCTGTGCCAGTTAGCCCTTTAAAACAGTAGTAGTCGTCTTCCCCTAAACCCTAAAACCTAAACCAACCTTCCAGGATTTCAGACCACAGGGCTCATCTTTCAGTGCTCCGGGACATGCACTGATAGGGGAAGGGTTACGTAACAAATGTCCTAGTCATGTACTTGAAAGTTTCTCCAAACACGCGGGTTATACAGGGCTTAGGATATAGGGTGTAGGGTTTGGGGTCTAAACTCCTTAAATTGGGGTTATATAGGGGAGTATTAAAGGGGTTACTAAGGGGGATACTGGGAGTTTAGACTATAGCTCACTTAAGTCTTCTAGTGGGCGGGTCAAGCCTAAGTCCTCACATGACCTTCCTTAACAGGACCATGTGATCGTCAACCTTGTGAAGCCCTACGCAGTTTCAATGGTCTTGGAAAGCCAGGCATGCCCTGCAGCAGGAGAGGTCTAAATTGGTCTAGGGTTTAGGACATGCCCTTCAGCAGGAGAAGTCTAAATTGTTTGGGGTCGTAGGAGCAATCTGGACTAGTGATTAATTGTAAGTAGGGATGGAGAAGTGGATCCCTTTCCCCGCCCCTATAGTATTCCAGTAAATTGGCAGTTGCCATGCCCATCATTTTCCATTCCATTTCCATTCCTTCATTCCGTACCAACACCCAGCTAGAATTCTTACACATGTGATAGCACCTGCGCGGCAACAAGTATGAGAACTCGCCTGCTGCTGGAAACATTAGGGGCAGGGGTCTGAGACCTCTACGCTGGGCTGTGCCAAGGCTATGCCCCTGTTCTGGGCGGATCTTATGCAAGGGTTTAGGGTTTAGGGCTATGGGTGACAAAAATGGGCGCCAACCCTAAACCCTAAACCCTAAACCCCCATACAGACAACGGTAGCGCCGCATGGACTCGGAATGGAGATTCGCATTCGGATGCGACTCATCAGAAGAGCTGAGGATCAAAGATGCAATTCCCAGAGGGTCCATGTACCCAATAATTAGGTACTTGGGATTTGGGTAATAGTAATTATAGTACAGGTTTTGGGTAAGTATATGATTATTGGGTACTTGGACCCTTAGGGATTCGCTTGAGCGTGTTGTGCTGGGAGAGCTCGCCGGGGAGACGTTGTGAGTGGAAGAAAGGGCCATGTTCATCAAAGTTATTCATGAGCATGGTATTGCCCAAATGTAGTTTTGTCCGTGGAGCCTCCTGACAGACACAGTTCGCTTTCGAACTGTGCAGCTTCCTTGTCCAACTCATGTCCTGAAAGGTCTGGCAATGTCTGGGCGCAGGGACCATGACTGGACTTGTGCATGCCTGTGACTGCAAGCTGACACCTGCGTGAAGTTTGAGACAAAATCGCTTCATTTGTTCTGCCGGTCTATGCAGGACTCGTTTAACACTTCTTACTGCTGCTGCTGCTGCTGCTGCTGCTGCTGCTGCTGCTGCTGTTGCTATGTGGTAGTTTCTCGAAACATATGCATGAAGGGACCCAGTCTTAAGGAACTAACATCATTTTTTCCAGCGAAACGAACCTTAGACTCTAGACCCCAAGAGCGATGCAGGTGAACAGCAGCATTTCGCTTCAGGGCTTGCTCCAGGAGAATCTGGGCCCCGGGGGGGAGCCAGGGCTCGTCTAGGGTTTAGGGGTAGATGCCATGCGGTTTAGGGTTTAGGGTTTAGGATAGATGCCACTGGTCTTTGTAGGTCCCCCGGTGCTTCCGTCTCAATTTGGGAAAGGCTGAACTTGCCCATGGTACCCTTCTGCATCCCCACAGGACAGGGAAAAGCGGTTAAGGGTTTAGGGTTTAGGGTCGGGATATCCAGCGGTATAATTGTTTACTTCGCGCATCCCCACTCTAAAAAAATGGTTGTCCGGCACTTGGGGTTGTTGACCGATTTTGGTGAATGAATCTTACTTAGCCAACCTCCTGGGATATAAGCGTTTAAGGTTTTTTAAGCCTGTATAGGGTCTCTTACATACCTAAACCCCAAAAGTATGTAAAATAATAGCCCTAAACCCATAATAATAGCCATAAAGGCCATTATTTTACATACTTTTGGGGTCCAGGTAGGATCCTTGCAAAGGGGTATGAGGGCTTCGGGGGATCCCTTTGCGGGGTGTTTAGGGTTTAGGGTTTAGGGTTTACAGGGCCTACGTAGAGTCCGTTTGCAGGGGTTATCAGGGCTGTATAGGGTCCCGTTACAGGGAGGGCGAGGAGAAAATGACCTTTTTCTTTAAATATCGAACAGAATCTAACAATCCCACTGTAAGGGTGGGGAAAGATGAAGCAAGGAACAATACAATATTTGGGCAAATGGGTTGAGGCTGGGCTGAGAGAGCAAGCCAGATTACTTTCTCAGGCCTAGTTGAAACGGGGGAGCAGATCCCAATAGTCGGCCCTATGTACTTAATCCTTAGAGTAGCTCCTTTGACGCATTTCTCCCATTCCAAGCTGTGCATCAGGAAGATTCAGATGGCAGCTCCTCGCCGGGCCTCGTTTAAGGGTTCAGGGTTCAGGGTGTGGCATGCTGACCGCTGCGTTCCTGAGCCCCTTTTGATTAGCCCAAGTCAAGCTATAGAGTGCACCCCAAAACTGCCTTCCAATTGAATAGAGCGATACATTCCATGCATTCCGCACCCTCTGGTTTCGGGATTGGCTCGGCGACTAGTCCACTGGACCCTCTACAATCTACATGAGACGTCGCAAGATGGGGCCTCTTAGAGGTATGTGATTCCTGATTTGTGGTTCTGTAGCGCTAGTTTGCGCAACTCCCATGTGGACCCTTGGTGAATACGGGCTCAGGAGAGCCTCAAGTGTTGAGGGCTCCTGTTTTGCTTACATGCACTGCCAACCTTCATACTGTTTGCCACTACCATCAGGGAATGCTCAAGTTTGGGCCCTATCTTGCTGGGGGCTAGTAGGGAATTTGAGAATAAGTTATATAGGGGATTATGTAGGGATCATACTACCGCATCCCCTACTAACGACCAGTAAGCTATGGGTTCTAGTCCTGATTTTAGGCTCTGAGCAGCAGACATGCAGATTGTGCTCTTTGCCTAATCACCCACATCCTTTTGGGGGGTACCTATATCAAGGACTGCAGTATGCTCGGGTTTGTGTTGGGGTCCGCCGTTTATATGAAATCCCCGCACATCAATACATCAGGCTGGCAACACAACTCATGCAAACCGGAGTGAATACGATGGTTGGCACAATCATGTTGGCCAGCTGCCAAACAGAGAGGGTACCCTGACACATCCCGAAAGAATGAAGTTCCAACTGCAGGGACGGCCACAAAGAATTACTCTAGCACACCTCTATCCCTAAGCTGTAAACGAAGAACCGCCTTGCAAATACCCCATGCCCTCTTTAAAGGCCAGGATCCTAACTCAGACCCATGATTAATAAACCCACTCCCCTTCATAGGGATTATAGTAGGGATCCTCATATTCAGGCCCTTAAAAAGAGGGATTTATTAATCATGGGTCTACATTAATGATAAGAAACTCCCGCAGGATGCACTGCTGATCGGCCCGGGTCTCAGGATGACGCGGAGCTAGGGCTGTGTTGCCCCGGGAAATTGTGTTTTTAGGGTTTAGGGCTTGTTTAGGGTTAAGGGTTTAGGGTTTGTTTAGGGTTTAGGGTTTGTTTAGGGTTTAAGGTTTAGGGTTTTGGGTTAATGCGCCTACCACTCCATCTACACCTCCCTCCAGGCCTAACACGGAAGCCCAACAGGGCTCTACAAACACTTATCAAAGACTCCCCCCTTTTTTCATCAGGAAGCTGTGTGATGTTTGTTTAGGGGAGGATAGGGCTCAGGTTTGGGGCAGAGTTTTGGGATTATGGTTTGGGATTTCAGGTGGGGTGTTTCTAAATATTTTTGGGCACCCATATTTCTGTAACCCCCTCTTACTAATATGATCTCCCTTCCCAACATTTTATGCTCCATGCTCTTTTCAATTCGATCCTCCAGACGGTATCCCGGCAGTTTTCATGAAAACATTGTAAAGTACAGTGTTCTTGCGCGGCCTGTAGTTTAAGTCTCAGACAGCCATGCCGTCGGCCTGGACGTCGGGCATAAGGCTCTGGCCCAGTTGCTTTCTCAGTAATCTGTTGGGAGCCCTCGCCGGTAGTTTGGAAGTCGGCTGAGCTGGTTGAGTGGGATGCGAGCTCCTTCAGAAAAACGCAGCCCGGACACCTTCTCCTATCCCTGATCCTCTGAAAAGTAGGGAGTGTAGTATAACTCCTTTTGCTGTCAAATTCCAACTATAGTACACCTGCGACCCTAAACCCCGAACTCCAAACAACCCTATACACTCAGAAGCCTTAGGTTCTAAACCCTAAACCCTCAAAGGGGCTATAGTCCAAACTCCTAGTATCCCCCTTACTAACCCCTATAGTAGTCCCCTATATAATCCCCTTTAAGGAGTTTAGATTAACCCTCATATAGAATCCCAACACATCCACTGCCCAAGGCCTCCCGCATGGTTTTTCAGCTCTGCGCGTTCTTGGTTCCTCTCTAAGAGCCGATGGCCTAGCCTTGGTTCCAGTGGGGTTTGGGCTCCAGGGTTCGGATTTTCGGGTTTCGGGATTTGGGTTCGTAGTGTGTGGTTTGGGGAGGACGCTTTAGAGTTAAGGAATTTGGGAGGTCCTGGTGTTTGGTTATCTGGTATTTGTTGGTCCTAAGCCCAAAACGCGAAACCCTAAACCCAATACCTCCCTTCCAAGGACCCGCTCCCCTGAAGGATATTGTCCATCAGGATTTGGCAGGCTTGTTGCGCTTGAGCCCTACTTGTAAAACAGAAAGCCAGAAACAGCAATCCTCAACAAGATTGTGGCTGTTTGGGGAGCAACCCTATGCCCTGGTTGCTATACCACAAAATCCTAAGCTCCCTGAGCCCTGTACGCTGTATGGTCTAGGGTTTAGGATTTAGGATTTAGGGTTCCATTGCCCAGACAATCCCTAAGCCAACGGAGAAGCCGTCAGTTCTGATTGGATGCAAGGCGAAATATGGGGGTTTCCCTAGTTAGGGGTACCATTTTTTATACCATTTTGGGGTCTATATTGGAGTCCCCTCACTTTAGGACCACATTTACTGGTGGAGCAACAGAGACCGCTGGAGGGATCCAATCGTTAGCTCCCCAGCCAAAGTCCATTTCAGCCTTGGCAAAATCTCCACAGCATATGTTCTCCACCAGATACTGTAGAACAAAGTTTTGAAGTCCTTTCAGCTTCTGGGAACGGAGAATTTCCGTCCCGGCCAGTGACAGCTCAAACACCCCATATAATAAGGACCATAGTAATTTGGGGTCTATATTGGGGTCCCCCCTTTTTTGGGAAACTACCATATCTATTTTGTCTGGTCACCGAGGGAACCAAGGAAGAGGAAGCTGTTTCGAGGGTTCCAAAGCACGATATTAATCCTTGTTGAACGTCAGAGCCTAAACCCTA